ACACAGGTGTTTCCACTCCCAATCATCCTCAGTTGTATTTAACCAGTGTCGTGTTTTCATTTTTCTGTTGGATCGTTGCTCTTATCATGCCTCAAGCCTTGTTTTTTTTTTTTTTTTTTTTTTTTGTTAAGTCTACGCTGCCACGTCAGCCTTTTTCTTTTGTTATTTAATAAACCAGTTTTTGTGTTTTTCGTTTGAGTCTGACTGCACTTTGGGTTCTACCACATCAATTGTGACAAATATAGCCTTTTTTGCTACCTTTTTGGACCAATTTCTTTTCAGTTCTGCACCTGAGATTCGATTTTCCAAGAATTTTGACAGAAATAAAAATAACTCCAAACAATTCCTTGGTTCCTCAGCTTGATTACGTCTTCTGGTAAAACAGTGGTATGTATAATCTTTTGGTCAAGGAGTGGGTTAATGTTTCTAATATTTACTTGTCAGGATTTTTACTAAATCAGTCAATAACACAAAAAACTTTGTCTACAGAATTCTTGTTTTTTTTTCTTTTGGTAAAACTAGTTGTAAGAATCTTGAATCAGATCAGAAGTTTTTTGGCACTAATACRTCTGTAAAGACATCAGTGAGTTTTAACCATTATTTTCTGCCTCCTTATCTGGACAAAGCTTATGACTGGAGGTAAAATGGTTTGGTATCAATTAGGAACATATGTATTGGCAAGAAATTTGCTTCATTTAGCCAAATGAAAAGTCAATACAATTCACCTCTTTCACACTTCTTATATCTGCAGCATAGCCACTACATTCTAAAGAAAACTGAAAACTCTTCCATTGGAGCATGGCATTTATGACATTAGGAGCCCTCCTGATTCGAAACATCTTATCAAAAATGTGCACACTTATAGTACAAGCTGCWTTGAGCTGAAGAAGTAATGCAGGATTTTCAGTGAGTCACATGAAGATTATTAGTGGCTCCCATCTTGAGCCTCCTTAAGAAAACTGTCTGGAGGCATCCCTCTTTGACGCCATGTCTTGGCTCAGCAAAGACAAAGTAAAACATCTCGACTTAAGAGGACATCTTGGTGCAAAATATACTCACTGTGTAAACAATAACAGTCTGGTTGAAGCCAAAGTACTTGACCGTCTTGTTGGTGACCGACTGGTTCATGAACAGCCACTCATACTGTGTCTGCATCACATCACGGGACCACCTAGTTAGTGCTGTGTTGTTCTTATGGAAGAAAATCCTTAATTCTTCATCTGAGATGGAAAACAACACGTGAGGTTTTCAAAACAACAGTCCAATTCAAAATTTCAGGAGTCACAACAATGAAGTGTTAAAATAAATAAAGGTTATAGAAGCGGGGCTCACCGGAGTGCACGACTGACTTGAAGGAGATGTTGCAGCTCTGAACGTCGAAGGGGAATTTGTAAATGTGCATCCTGCAGGTGCTGACCACAACCAGGTCATTCCTGTATTCCACAGTACCATTATTTGCTACTTTGAGAAAAGGACTAAGTGGAGCTTTGTCCTTCTCTACCCTGTAAAATAATAATAATAATAATAATAATAATAATAATAATATTAAATAGTTTGAGTATATTGCTATGTCACCATTTCTTGTTGCCCATGTGTCCAAAGTGAGGTGCTGAAAGTTTCACACTTACATTTCTTCGATCATTAGGTCTGGTTTCCACAGAACCTCAGTGGGAATTGTTATTTTTGAAATTCCACAAAAATTTGTTTTATTCCAACTAATATGAGGATTCCTCCACTTCTGAAGAGGGGAAAAGAGAAAAAAACAAACACAGAGAAGAAGGTTTTGTCATGACTAGAGACTTCTTGTTATGTTAGTTGTTTTCAGCAGCACAGTTATGGAGAAACATCCTTGAGACTTTTGGATTTTACTGGGWTCTTATGGACAGTACTGTTGGTTTCTGAGGGCAAAACAATGTTTTCTTGAAATTCTACCTCCATTGTTTTCACCCATAATTTGCCCACATCCCCCCAAAAATCAAGATCTATTATGAGCCGTTTTATGACTTTTACTTAAGTGCCTTTCTTATCAGTGTAATTCATTTTTACCAAAATCATTTTATGTTGAGGTGTTTTTACTTTTACTTATTTTTTTTCAAGTATGTCTGCTAAGCAGATGTGAATAC